TTTGTATTTTTAGTAGAGACGGGGTTTCTCCATGTTGGTCAGGCTGGTCTCGAACTCTTGACCTCAGGTGATCTGCCTGCCTTGGCCTCCCAAAGTGCTAGAATTACAGGTGTGAGCCACTGCGCCTGGCCTAGGCTTTCTCAGTTTTACTCTGTCCCTTGTTCTTGCCTTTCTAAAGAAGAGACTTCGATTTTTAGTCTTAGTTCAGGCAGAATCCGCATATAAAGTATCTCCCTCAGTGTATAGTAATTCTTGCATTCCCCAAACTGGGTCTGAGGTTTAGTAGAGCTCATTAGAGTCCCCATCTATTATCCGGGGGAAGTTGGTCTTCCCACTTATGCTTGGGCATGACATGTAATGTGTAAATAACCATGATAAAGGATCATGGACAGAGAACACTGGATAAACATTAATAGGATTCATCAAACCAAAGAGGGTCAGAGGCCCCACTTTATAAGGGGTGATGGGAAAGCAGTGTGGGTTCTTTTGTTTTTTGGTTTTTGACCTGAAGGAAGGCTGTAACCATGGCCTTCTCAATCTGAAAGTTTATTCATTGGCCTGGGCTTCATGAGACTTTCTTCCCACTAAAGGGAACTACTCCCTGTGTAAAGACAGAGTGCCCAGCGCAGGAACAAACCAGAATTAGCCATAACCACTAAGCCTCTTGCCCAGATTTACTTAAAAAGATGGAACGGGGGCTTCAAAGCAAACTGTACTGGCTTAATAGTAAAGATGAATAGAAATGAAAAAATCAATCACTTGAGTGGTTAGGAATGCAGTCTTTGGAGCCAGACTGCTTGAGTTTGAATCCAAGCTCCAAATCCGTGTCGTTTGGATGATCTAATTGCTGTGATGTGTGGTCTTCTTTCTTTTATTCTTTCGTTTTTGTTTTTGTGTTTTTAGAGACAGGGTCTTACTATATTGCCCAGGCTGGCCTTGAAGTCCAGGGCTCAAACGATCCTCCCATGCCACTGTAACCAGCATTTTGATTTTTAAAATGAGATAATAGGCCGGGCGTGGTGGCTCAAGCCTGTAATCCCAGCACTTTGGGAGGCCGAGGCGGGTGGATCACGAGGTCAAGAGATCAAGACCATCCTGGNAAAACTACAAAAAATTAGCTGGGCATGGTGGCACATGCCTGTAATCCCAGCTACTCAGGAGGCTGAGGCAGGAGAATTGCCTGAACCCAGGAGGCGGAGGTTGCAGTGAGCCGAGATCGTGCCATTGCACTCCAGCCTGGGTAACAAGAGCGAAACTCTGTCCCAAAGAAAAAAACAAACAAACAAACAAAAAAAAATGAGATAATACACTCATGAGAAGTAAATGAGATAATGCATGTAAGAACACTTGGCACATAATTCTCCATAAATATTAGCTATTTTTAATTTAGAGAAAAGCTGCTCTTTCTCCTTTTACTTGGGCTTTAGGGAAAGTGGCTGGCAGCAACTTTTGAAATATCTTAGAATATTTGTAAAACAAATGTGAGTCTTAATTATTGCTAGTGAAAAGATCTTGCTGTAATCTTTCAAAAGCAAATTTTAATCATGAGTATCCAGATTTTACTTTACCTTGATGATGTAAATGTGTGCCTCATGCACCAGGAGAGGCAGTTTGCTCCCAGATCCTCCTGTTTAGGGACATCTTCAAAGGCCACACCAACTGTGTAGTCCAAATGCTCATTCACCTCCACCTCCCAATAATGGTGCCCTTGGACTGGAATTAGATTTCCCATGACAGCAACACACCTGGTTTTAGAAAGCAGAAGCATGTGTGATTTAGGGTTCCCAAGCCTGGCTGTGCAGGTCAGTGACGCCAGCTGCTGGGATCAATCAGTCAGTGGTCTACGAAGGTGGAGGAGGTAGGTGCTTCTGGACACTTGTAAAGCACCCTTAGCTCTCAAAGCTCATTGGGCTGATGCTGAAGATTAGAGATTATGATACTGCTTGGTAATGGAAAAGCAGGAGGCACTAAACCAACAACAAGCTTTGTTTGCCCTTTAAAATGTTTGGGACTTCTATAGAAAAAGGTTTGGCTCACTCGTTCATGAAGACAAGGGTTGAAAATACACAACGCAGCACGGTCAAGGGAACCATAAGCTTGAAGTTCACCAGCACTTGCTTATGGTACAAAATGAACATGGAAGGTCTTTGAGGTAGCCATCATGTTAGGGATGACTCCTGATGGAAGACAAGAATTCAGGGGCCAGCCCAAGAAGACCAAGATAGCAGATTCCTCATAAATCATCAAAATCTACCTGCAAGGTTGCACTGGGAACAATTATACTGACAAAGGTTAGAGTTACATTTTGTTCTATACCAGTAAAGTATGAACAGAGGAAGGTTTTCAGTAAAAATCAAATTAGTATCTCCAAAGTGAATGTTCTGCCTTCTTCAGGAGACTCCTACATTAACCAAAATGTATGTGCCCCCAACATCCCTAGAAAGATTTGTTCAGTTTAAAATCTCTCTACTCTCAAACCCCAAGTTCTTACTGCCAAGCAAAGCTTTGGGAAGGAGGTTGCGTGTCAGCTTCTACTCAGTTACCTCATCTATAAAATGAGCCCGTCTCTGCTTCAAGCTCCAGACCCACATTTCCACCTGTTGTTTCAAATTCAGAATGTCCCAAAATGCAAATAGTCATATTCCCACCCCTCTTATCTACCAAAGTTTGGGGTGTAGTGGGGAGGGGCACATACTTCTCACATCTCCATTTTGGTTAATAGACTCATTATCTCATGGTGAAACCCCATCTTTAAGAAAAAAAAAAAAAAGACTCATTATCTGCCCAGTACCCATTGGCAGAAAACTAAGATGGGAATAATGCAGTAGCTACAAGCTTACCTTCTAGTTTAATCCCAACTTCAACCCTTAATAGCATTATACTCTTGGGCAAGTTACTTCTCTGTGTTTTAAGTTTTCTCATCCATCAACTGGGATTGATAATAGTACAGACCTCACAGGGCTGTTAGGATGATTGTATGAGATGAAATACATTTAGCACCTGGTAAGCATTCTATAAATATGGCAGTATGATAGTCCCTGTCTCATCTCCCTCTCTGTTGCCTTTTAAACAGGTGACCACCTAGACTCGTTGGTTTTATGCGCTCAACAGCTATTGACTCCACTGGCTCTTCTCACCCACCCTACTGTGTAGTCAGGTCTCCTCCAAAGTCTCCTCTCTGGTCTCTGTTTCCCATCTGCCTTTCCCTTTCCCTTTCCCTCTCCCTCTCCCTCTCCCTCCCCAGCTCACGTTCTACCATGCACTGGAATCTTCTGAAATGTAAGTCTGATCTCGTTCCCCTGCTTTAAATCCTCCAATAATTCTCATTACATAGAGGGTAAAATCCAAACTTGCTTTTTGTTCTGGACCTTCTCTGACTTTCCTGCCTCATCTTCCACCTCTTTTCATCATGGACCGTATACTGCAGACATACTAAATTCTTTATATTTCTCCAAACATGATTTTTCTGGCCTCTTTCATATGTATATGTACAAAGCAATTATCTGCCTTCTTGGCCTGGAGAACTCCTATTTATCCTTCATGTCTTTGTCCTTCCAAGTCTTTGTCCTTGGGGCTTCTACAATGCTTTGTCCATAAATCTGCCTTACCTTTAGTATGTGTGCCATTTGCACGGATGTCTCCCCCACTTGGATCTGAGTCTTAGGTGAGCAGGGACTGTATCTTCATCTCTTTCTCCCCGAGGAGAGCATGATGTTTCACCGGGTAACAGATATACTGGCAACAGGCTATTAAAATAGGACTCTCTCACCCAGCTTGGCTGGATCCCCAAAAGCCAAGAACCAAACGACAGGTGTAAAGAACTCCTGTATTTCATGGTGAGATGCTAGAAGTAGACCTCCTAGGCAGAAGTTTAGAAGGAGAGAGCCAAAAACTGGGTTCACAGCTTTTCAGTGCAAAACCAAAGGGCTGAAGCTGAAGATGCTGGAGGCTTTGTCTGCCCTGAGAGCTTTTTTATTTACACACAGAGTGAGTAGCGGTGGCCTCATCTAAGATTGTGTGTTTTTCCAGGACCAGGTGTGACTGGAAACCACCACAGGGATGCTGTCTTAGTGCTGTTTTTGAGGTGGTCCTGTCCAAGAGGGCTTCCTGTGAAGGTCAAGGAGACCTCAGCAGAAAGATGCTAGAGTTGTGTTGGATGCAAAGGTTGAAGTGTAATGAGGCACCCCTGGAGGGAGGGGGACTGCCTGGGGCCCACAGCTGCTGTCAGAGGGGCCTGTGACAATGCTCATGAGAGTAGCTTTAAACGTTGCTTTGGTGCTAGTCAGGCAAAACCTTTATTGCTTCTTACTCATGTCTACACCTGCACAAACCTGGGTTGAAAAGGCAGAGGAGGAAAGAACAAAATCATTTTCCTCTCCACCTGCTAGTTCACACTAACACTTGCATATAGTAGGTGCTTAACCCATGTGCAGTAAAAAGGCCAGCAGGAAGCCAGGGTCAGAGGAAGAGCCAGCTGAGGGGACTATTCAGGACCCAGGTAGCGGGGCTGGATAGTTTCCCTCAGTGGGCCTTCCAACCCTAATAGGAGAGCCATTTTGCTTTTTTCGAAGATCCTCTTGACTCTAAAATCAACCTACCAAGAACTATTTGCCTTGGATACCAGGAAGCTGAGAGGCCTTATTTACGTTTAATCGTAGAAACTGAATTAGCCCTTGAAGTTAACCTGTGTCCTTTCTTTTTAACCATTGCTTTGATTTTTCTATTTCAGCATTTTATATTTGGCTCTTATTTTGTCTGTTAAGTCTTTGGAAAGAAGTAAGGAATATATAAGTAATTTCAACATGTGTTGTGTACTAAGTTCTAGAAATAACTGGAGAGCCAGCCAGCCTCTTTGGTGGGCCACCCCGCCCACAGATCATGCACCAGCGCAATGATGGTTTCCCCTAACTTTGGAACAGACTCACTGCATGGCCAGTTTTCCATCAGGAGTTTTGCTGTAAGGAACCACAGTGCAGGAGAAAGAACACTGGGCTAATCGTTGGGAGACCTGGGTCCTTGTTTCTGTTCTACCACTACCCCACAGCATGACCCCTGAGAGGCAGAATAGGGTCTGGGGGCAGAGAACCTAAGGACTTATAGAACTAAATTAAATGGAAAAACCCCAACCTTCTAAGTCCAAGTCAATAACTTTGTACTTCAGCTATGGCAGGAAACATCCTCTTCATTTGCATAGAGTGTATACCGAATAAATGACTTTGTAACTTCAATTTAGCCTCTTCATCTACATAGGGTGTACACCATGTAACTGGTGGAAACCTCTAGAGGATGTTTAAACCCCAGAAAATTCTGTAAACCGGCCATCGAGCCGCTTGCTTGGCCCGCTTCCTCCTTGTGGAGTGTGCTTTCATTTTCAATAAATCTCTGCTCTTGTTACTTCATTATTTCTTTTTTTTTTTTTTTTTTTTTTTTTTTTTTTTTTTTTTTTTTTTTTTTTTTTTTTTTTTTTTTTTTTTTTTTTTTTTTTAGTCTCACTGTGTCACCAGGGCTGGAGTGCAGTGGTGCCATCTCTGCCTCCTGGGTTCCAGCTATTCTTCTGCCTTAGCCTCCCAAGTAGCTGGGATTACAGGTGCAGGTCACCATGCCAAGCTCATTTTTGTATTTTTAGTGGAGACAGGGTTTCAGCACATTGGCCAGGCTGGTCTCAAACTCCTGATCTCAGGTGATCTGCCTGCCTCGGCCTCCCAAAGTGCTGTGATTACAGGCGTGAGCCACTGCGCCCAGCCGCTTTCCTTGCTTTGTTTGTGTGTTTTGTCCAATTCTTTGTTCAGAACGCTAAGAACCTGGACATCCTCCGCTTGTAATACCTGTCCTACCCTCATGACCTCTGGCTGCTGCAGCTCTGGTAGCCTAGGACCCGGGGATCATTCCTCCCAGGAGCCCGCACTCTCCCTGGACCTTGCCCTTCCAAAGGGCTCTTCTGCCCTCACCTGCCTGACCTCTTTTGCCCACACTCCTCTGGGTCCCCTCCCCACTAGGCTCCTCCCTCCTCACTCATTTCTGGAATTCCTTTTCCCTTGAGGCTGCCTCCGTGCCATATTCAGATTTGACCTGAATAACAGTGCACATTTGGGAAGTTCACAGAATGCCCTTGTGAGCTGTTGACAAAGTACCTGGTGAAGTGGGTGTCGCTGGGTGGTGGCTCCCTGGTGGGGGTACTCCTTTCACTTCGTAGGATCGTAAGTCCATCTTGAGAAATTGTCAGCCAGGGATGGCAGGTGTCCTTGTTTAGGCGAAAATAGCTTCCTGTGGGAGGAGGAACACACAGAAGACCCGCAGTTAATCCCTTGCTTTCTCCACTGAGGGGAGGGGGTGTTGTGACCTTAGCTTCCTGTAGGACACACTTAAGCCTGGACCTGGCCTAGTAATAGCCGTCCCCTTAACAAGGATGGCAGTTAACACCAACTGGGGAGTCTTGTGTGCCTGGTATCTCCTTCGATCCTCACAACTACCCTTAGAAACAGGTGTTACCATTTCCATTTTGTAGATGAGAAAACGGAGGCAGAGTGGTTAAGAAATCAGCTGGCAAATGATAGAACTGAAACTGACCCCCAAGCCTTTCTGATTCCACAGGCTGTGTTCTTCACCTCTAGCTGTAATGCCTGTATATGGATAATAATTTCTAACCTATTTGCCAAAGGACAGAGGAATTGAGGGACTTCTTAATGATTCATTTGATTTGCAGTTAGCAGTAGGGGAGAAGGAAGTAGATTAGAGTCATCCCCAAATCATGATTAAAACAAAGACCATCAAAAAGTGGCACAGGATAGCTGTGTGTGCTGTTGCAAGCCTGTATTCTCAGCCACACTGGAGGCTGAGGTGGGATCTCTAGGCTGAGGCAGGAGGATTGCTGGAGGCCAAGAGTTCTGGGCTATACTGTGCAATGTGGACGGCGTGTCTGCCCTAAGTTCCCTGTCAATATGTTCACCTCCTGGGAGCAGGGGACCACTAAGTTACCTAAGCAGGGGTGAACTGGCTCTAGCTAGAAACAAAGCAGGTCAAAACTCATGCTGATTGGTAGTGGGATCATGCCTGTGAATAGCCACAGCACTCTGGCCTAGGCAATACAGCCAGCCTGTTCCTTAAAAAAAAAAAAAAAAAAGTGGCCCTTGATCTGATAAATAATTATCTGGTTAAAAAATACCTGTTTTTAAGAACATAGTAACTCATTCTCCATTATTGTCTCTTAGTCAAGGTCTTAAGTTCCCATTCTCTCACTTCTTACTGTCTCAATCCCTAGTTCAAACATCACCATCAAGCTGTTCACAATTATTTTCACAATGTGATGCTGCTGGAAAATTCACTTGCCATATGAGCTGATATGAAGGGGAGGCATGTTCCCACCTTGCAACTAACACAACGCATGACACTTACTGCCTACTCCCTAGTCCCAAGCAAGGATCAGTTTTGAATACATACATACTTACATACATATATATATATATATTTCTCTGATTCCCATTTATTTACATTTCTGATAAATACTCTCAAAAAATTATTTGGCTGGGTGCTGTGGCTCGTGCTTGTAATCCCAGCAGTTTGGGAGGCTGATGTGGGTGGATCCCTTGAATCCGGGAGTTCAAGACCAGCCTGGCAACGTGGCGAAACCTTGTCTCTATAAAAATTTTTAAAAAATAATTAGCCAGTTGTGGTGGTGAACACCTGTAGTCCCTAAGCCTAAGGAGGCTTAGGTGGGAGGATCACTTGAGCCTGAGAGGTGGATGCTACAGTAAGCTGAGATTGCACCATTGTACTTCAGCCTGGGTGACTAAGTGAGGCCCTGTCTGAAAAAACAAAAAACAAAAATTACTTGAGAGCTGGGTGTGGTGGGGTGCACCTGTATTCCCAGCTACTTGGGAGGCTGGGGCAGGAGGATTGCTTGAGCCCAGGAGGCTGAGGCTGCAGTACACTATGATGGTGTCTCAGAATAGCTACTGCACTGCAGCCAAGGCAACTAGACTCCATCTCTGAACAAAATTATTTGAATAAACAAATTCAGAGACTTCTGAGTAATCAAGAATTGGCTGTACTCTATCAATCCGTGCCGGGACAACAGATGTGTAGAATGTTTCTGGTGATGCCTCTGCTAACTTAAGATTTGGACATGAGATGTCATGGTTCCGTGGTGTGATATGGCAGGTGAGAAGGGAGAAGAAGCTGCAGTAGGGTATGTGAGCACCCACTAGGGCCAGGCAGATAGGAGGAGGCTGGTCAGCCAGATCTAAGTTGCCCTCTGAATGGAGAGATGCTTGGGTTGACAGTAGGAACAGGAAGGTGAGCCACGACCTATGGCGTTTTCTGGGAATTTCATAAAGACCCCATCCCACACATAATGTGTGAGATATAATATGACATGTTTGGGCTACTCAGGTCTGGTGTGACCAGCCTCTGGTTCAGCAGAGGGACATTGAGAAAAGCCTTGAGTTCTAATGTCTGCCCAGCTACCAAATTACTATGTGACTTGGGCCTTCAGTCTCTTCATCTGTCAAATGGGACCACAAGGTTATCATCCCTGAACTCCTTCTGGCCTGACTTGCCATGTGTCTGTATCTGTGCGTATTCATCAGCTTCCCAGCGAAGTCACAGCAGCACTGGGTCTGCCACAGAGTGGCCACTTTGGGTCTCAGAGACTGCGTGACCTGGGGCACAGACCTATGGTGTGGACTGTAGCGGGCTTGCTCCTCACGCTGGGGCCCCCCATGTTGAGGGCTCGCACATAGATAATGTAGCTCTGTCCCGGCTGCAGCTGCACCAGAGATTCACAAGTTGGGATGCCCACAACAGACCTGTACAAGGAAGCAGAGCTGCAGTCAGAATGGGGCCAGGACACCCGGGCCCAAGCACCAAGCATCCCTTTCAAAGCTGGGAGGTGTAACTCACTCTTACACCCCTGTCCTCTGACTCAACAGCAGCACAGCCAGGAGTGTTGACTCCCCCTCCATATTCCCTCCCACAGACTCTGGTCTGCTTTTCTCACTTCGTTGCTACTTCTTGTGTTGTGGCTGTCTCCCCTCCAAGCCCCTCATTCTGGTTTCCCAGGCACCCAGCACCACAGTTCGCATATGGCTAACACTGCATCATGGAGCATGCATGCAGAAGAATCCAGCGTGTCTCCATCCGTCTGTTCGGGTCATAACGTCTCTGAGATCAGGGCTGAGTGCCACTATTCTTAGTACAGTACTGGGCCCACAGGGCCTTCAGTTCAGCCGGATGCGGTGGCTCACACCTGTTATTCCAGCACTTTGGGGGGCAGAGGTGGGAGGTCACTTGAGGTCAGGAGTTTGAGACCAGCCTAGCCTACATGGTGAAACTCTGTCTCTACTGAAAATACAAAAATTAGCTGAGTGTAGTAGCAGGTGCCTGTAATCCCAGCTACTCAGCAGGCTGAGGCAGGAGAATCGCTTGATCCTGGGATGTGGAGGTTGCAGTGAGCCAAGATCATACCACTGTACTCCAGCCTGGGTGGCAGAGTCAGACTTCTCAAAAAAAAAAAAAAAAAAAAAAAAAAAAAAAAAAATGCTGGGCATGGTGGCTCATGCCTGTAATTCCAGTACTTTGGGAAGCTGAGGCAAGTGAATTACCTCAGGTCAGGAGTTCGAGACCAGCCTGGGCAACATGGCAAAACCCTGTCTCTACTAAAAATACAAAAATAGCCAGGCATGGTGGTGGGTGCCTGTAATCCCAGCTACTTGGGAGGCTGAGGCAGGAGAATTGCCTGAACCTGGGAGTCAGAGGTTGCAGTGAGCCAAGATCATCATGTCGCTGCACTCCAGCCTGGACAACAGAGCAAGACTCTCTCAAAAAAAAAAAAAGGCCCTTGATTCATGTTCATAAACAAACAATTCTGACTAGAGCTGAAAGGGTTAACTATATTAACCCCCTGAGAACAGCTGCCTATTGGAAATAATCCAATTTATTTAAATTGTACTATACAGAACTACAAGCCCATAATTCCCACTGTCTATATTGCTGCGGTTGCCAACCCCATTTCAGTCCAGTGGGCAAGAGAAATCTTTAGGATGATGCCCATTTACCAATACAACACCCTCACCCAGATGAGGCCAGGCTGTCCAGGTTATCTTCAGCCTGCAGCTCTGGGCCAGAGAGGCACTTTTACTTATGCAATCAATAAATATTAACTAAACTCCTTAGATTTCAGGCACTGTATGCCGTAGCCCTGGCAAAACCCAAACGTATTTCCTGCCCTCATAGGGCTTATAGTTTAGATGGGAAGAGAGGTATTAGGCAATCACTGGAAGGAATGTAAGATGGTAACCATGACAAAGTGACAGTGTGCTATAGTGTATAGTGGCGGGGGAGGGATGGCTTTTGAGCTGAGCTCTGAAGAATGCTGAAGAGGTAACTAGATGAAAAAGGGACAGAGGGGTCTCCTACACAAGAGAAGCATGTGCCAAGGCCACACTTGTGGCAGGAAGGAACACAAAAAGTAGGAGGAACTGAAACGTGTCCAGTGTGGCGGGAGCTTGAGAGGGAGGAGAGCTGGTACAGGAGGAGCTGGAGAGGCAGGAAGTGGCCAGAGCCTGTGAAGGACCTTTGCCTTTTCTTCAGCAGTGGGCCCCCATGATTGGATTTGTATTGGAAGAATATGCACCACCTCTCAGGTTACTGACCAGCCCTCTGATGACCTCATCATTGTGAGTTGGTCCCAGGTGTCAAGTGCTCCTAAAGCATCAACATCAATTGCAAAGGAAACCTGAACCGTTAGGATGGCCAGAACCACTGAACACCCTGAGTATCTCCAGAGTGGATTACCAAGATCAGCCTGCATGTGGCTGTGGACAAGCAGATTCCACCTAGAACAGATGGATGGGTGGCATATGGCCACATTTCAAGCCTGACATTTAGCACAGAAGAATCTGCCTCCCTAACAGTTGACACCAGCCCTTGTTCATTTCTCCAGCTCCAGGTCAGTGCACCCCTGTGCTCCATAGCAGGGGAGCCCCTGGTCCTGGTGGCTGCTGCTGGCCTACCTGGCTGGTTCACCCCTTTTCACAAACTTCTGTAAACCAGAGGTAAATCCATGCCTCCTCCATCGTAGGCTGCTGTGAACTCATAGGTTCTTTGAGCTCTTGTGGTCACTGAGCCCAACCCTTATCAATTTGTGAACCCCTCCAACTCTCTGAGAATGAGGGGTGAGCATGAGCTTCCAGACAGTCTTCTATGGTAGATGAAATGTTCTTTGTACATTGAGCTCCAGTCTCTTGTTTTCACCTTATGGCTTTTACTCTCTCCTCTCTGAATTCCAGCTAGGTGGGTCTTTTAGTTCCTCCAGCAGATGAAGCTCACTCCTGCCCAGGGCTTGTGTCCATACAGCCCCCTCTCCCCGGAGCACCCCTGCATTCACTGTTTTTTGGGGCTCAGTCTTTCCCGTCTGTTCAGGTCTCAGTTTAAACATGTTCTTATCCAAAGCGGATCCTCACCTCCAGCACCATTCTCTGTTTTATTACACTTCTTTTTCCTTCCTAGCACTGCATATTTTACACATTGGTTAGTTTTCTTGCCTTTTGTCTATTTCCCCACCAGGCTGTCAGCCCCAGTAGGGCAGGACGTTTGTCCATCTAGTTTCCAGTGCCTTGCCCAGGACCTGGCACCACCCAGGCACTCAATGCTTGTTGAATGAATAAATGGGAAACCTTGCTTGAGCTAAAAAACAACAAAACCTGAGGTGCAGCCAACTTATTCATACATCATTTACCTGGAGTAACAGCATTCCAGCTGCTTCTCGTGAAGACTAAGCAAGCAAAAATTGAGATTCCTTGTATCAAAATGACAACCTTCTCTCCAGACTACATATACTTCCTAAGCCACGTCACTGTGTCAGGTGTCAGGGCTCTCATGCCCCACAAATGCCCTTATGACTCACTCAGTTACGCCTGAGGCTTCTGGACTTTCAGCCTGGGTCAGCTCCACAGTGTATGAGTCCACAGGATTCAGGTTCCCAGACTCCCAGCAAATGAGCACAGCCTCTTCACAGCTCCTTATCTCTTTGGTTTTTATAATGGGGGGAGAAGGCGCTAAATGTGGGAGAAAGGGAGAGATGAACCACTGCTGTGTTCATTTCCAGCCATTTGGTTCAGAGCCAAGGACAAACATCACAGCCACCTTCTTCCTCCCACAAAAGAAATTAAGTGCAATAAGCAAACCAGGAAATCCCTTCCAGATGTTTCTGGAGTAGAAGATGGTTGCAAGGTTCAAATGTCAGTGTGACCGAGAATAGGAGTTTTTTATATTTTGAGACCAACCATCAGAAAAGATCACTGTCGGTTGGGCATGGTGGCTCACACCTGTAATCCCAGCACTTTGGTAGGCCAAGGCAGGCGGATCACTTGAGGTCAGGAATTCGAGACTAGCCTGGCCAACATGGTGAAACAGCGTCTCTACTTTAAAAAAAAAAAAAAGAAAAAAAATCAGCCAGGTGTGGTGACAGATGCCTGTAATCCCAGCTACTTGGGAGGCTGAGGCAGGAGAATCACTTGAACCTGGGAGGCAGAGGTTGCAGTGAGCTGAGATCACACCACTGCACTCCAGCCTAGGTAGAACTCCGTCTCTAAAAAAAGGGAAAAGAAAATGTCACTGTCAAACTAGGCATGTAGATTTGGTGTATTAAATAAAAGAAAAAAATATACACAGCTCTTCCTACCCTTCCAAATGAAATCAAGCAGGCTGCCATGTGTAGAAACCCATGACTCCTGTGTCCCCTTGAATGAAAGCCCTGCTATAGGCAATGAGTAGCCCATTACCTGTCACATACACTGCACGCTCGCTGGGGGGGCTTGGGCCAGCCCTGTTGTGAGCTGTGACCCAAAATTCATACTGGGTATTTGGCACAAGGTCTGTCACTGAGCAGTACGTTTCTTTGATGGTCACTGTAAACTCTGAGGGAACAAAAGAGATAATAATTCAACCCTGAAAACTGGCCAAGTGGCCTCAAGTTCATTATGCCGAATCGCACTGTAGTAGATTACAAACCTAGCTGTAAATTCCTCCCATCCCGGTATGCACTCCCTCTGCAGCATGACTTGGCTGCTCCTTGCATTCAGAGCTTTCTTCCTTCTCTCTGCCCCTTGAAACTGGGCTTAGCTATGTGACTAGCTTTGGTCAATGGGCCAATGGCAAACGATGCAAACAAAGGTATGGGAAGTGCTGGTGCACAGGGGCTTGCCCTCTTGCTGCTGGGGATGCTTCCGCTACCATGTCAGCAAGGCCAAGCCAGCCTCCTGGAGGATGTGAGACCACAGGGAGAGACACCCCAGCTGCCCAAGTCCTGGCCATCCTACCTGAGGCAACAGTAAATGAGGCCATCCTAGACCAACCACCTCTACCCAAGGTAGGGGTCGTTCTGTTGTGAACCACCTTGAGTAGGGGTGGTCTTCTATTTCTGTGCATTGATTTGGTCATTGCACAGAATTATAAGAAATAATAAATGTTATTTTAAGCCACTAAGTTGTAGGGGGTGCGGAGGAGGATTGGTTTTGCAGCAAAAACTGACACAACTCCAGACTTCCCCAGAATCTTGAAAGGCAGTGATAACTCCTTAATTTACCTTCAGATGTCAGTTCCTTTATAGCAAAATGGTCAGTTTAAAAGATCTGATAGATTGCCATAACACAGCCCCAGTGCAATGGCTTCTGTGTATCTGCAGGGGATGCTGGCAGGGTTGATTTGTGGCAAAAGCTGGGATTAATGAAGTCTGACTTGCTAGTCCCCAACCTCCCTTTTCAAAGCGCCTCACCTCACTCCATGTCCTCTTTAGTCCTTATGCTGACCACCCTCACCCTCCCTCATCATCGCTTAAATTTACTCTTACTTTTCCCAAGAATTCCCCTTCTTTCCTGGGCAGAAACACCATCCTTAGCTTCTGGAACTCAGCCCTCCACCTGCATGGTCGGGTACAATGAGTGGAACTTGGGGCAGGATGCCTACACACCTGATTCACACGCTCATTCTGCCGTAACTCACTATGTCCTCACGGACTACTTTCCCTCTGAGTCTCAGTTTCCTCATCCATAAAATGGAGATCTCTAAGTGTCTTTCCAGCAATCCCATTCTGACCCCACATGCACAGGACAGGTGCTGTCAGGCTGGCCCTGATCCCTTGAAATCTTCAGATACTCAGCTGGGGCTCTTCTGCTATCTGACCCTCCCTCCTTAAAAGAGAACAGCTTATTGATTAGGGTGTGGCCCTACCCCAGCTGTAACCCCACACCAGCCAGTCCCATTTCCAGGGAAAAGGATGTTGGCCAAGAGCTGCTCACAGTGGAGGCTGGGGGCCATCCCAGGAGCTGGTCATCGCACCTGGGAATGTGGAGCTGGTCAGCAGCAGCCCTTCCACGTGACATCATGAGGTCTTCAGACGAATCCTCCAGTTTCTCCTGCAGCACAAGGCTGCTGTGAGAGGAGCCATCCTGACCCTCAGCTGCCAGGACAAGTTAGAATCCAGCCAGCCCAGCGGGGCCTCCTTGACAAGGGGTGTCCCTGGCCCCTCCTGCACACGGTGTAGCCAGAGACTCGTCTCAGGGACAACTCTGACTCAATGGCTGTAGGTACACTCCAGCCCCCTTTGCCTGGCCTCGCTGTCCTCCCGTCAGGCCCCAGGATGCCTTGCTAGCCCTTCCTGCCTGCCTACCTGCCTGCATCCCATCCTTGGCATGTATAGACCAACCCTGTCTCCACCGTCCCAACTGCCAGGAAGACAGGGCCCAGGCCCCTGTGGGGCCTGAACCGTTCCCATGAGCATGAGCATGTTCCTGGCAGAGCCTCACCTGCTTGGTCCTTCCCAGGTGAGCTGTCCTGCACTGGCCGGTAGGACAGCTGATAGCTCTCCACGGTGTCATCGGAGTATAAGCTCCAGCACACTCGGACTGAGGAACCTGTGGCTGAGTTAGGGGCTTGCGGATTTATGACTGGAGCAGAAGGAGCTAGGAAAAGAAAAGAAAAAAATAAAAGCCTCTAATAGAGGTGTGAGGTGACAGTGGCCCCTTTCCCATGACCATTGATCCCCCCAATGAATCCACACCCTTTGAGAATGAAAGAGGAAGCCCAGAGTAGACAAGGATGGGAACACAGAGCCTCTCAACCATGAGTCTGCAAAATACAACCAGTATATCTATTCTTGCTTTGACAAGTGCAGATGAGCTTAGAGAGCAGGGGTAGGTGATGGGGATTCAGCCCGGGGAATAGATTGTGAATCCTGCTCCAGGTTGTGGGCCCTCTGGCCCTTCCATGGCACCTAAAGAGGCAGGACAACCAGATCACAGCGCTGCTGCCTCAGCAGAGAGAAAGAAGCCTTCAACAAGGAGGATCTGCTTTTATTAATGGTGCAGAGAAGAGGCATTCAGGAACCATCTCCCACATTATAGTGAGAGAAGATTGGGGTGGCCCAGTTGTGCTTTTCAAAACCAACTTCTTTATAGTTCATTTACTAAGTTAATTCTTTTCTTCTCTGTAGGTGAGTACTTCTGTCTCTCCCAACCCCATACAATCTCACACACACAACCAAGAATAAGAACAAGTGGTATTTTTCCTCTAAAATTCTTCTTTTTCCTCTCTCTTTGAGACAAAGTCTCACTCTGTTTCCCAGGCTGGAGTGCAGTGGCATGATCTTGGCTCACTGCAGCCTCCATATCCTGGATTCAAGCGATTCTTATATCTCAGCCTCCAAAGTAGCTGGAACTACAGTCGCATGCCACCATACCCAGCTAATTTTTGTATTTTTAGTAGAGACAGGGTTTCGCCATGTTGGCCAGGCTGGTCTCGAACTCCTGACCTCAAGTGATTTGCCTGCCTCTGCCTCCCAAAGTGCTGGGATTACAGGTGTGAGCCACTGTGCCTGGCCCTTTCCTCCCTAATTCTTCTCCCATGGCAGCACCTCCCTCCATCCCAGGCTTTTAATATCCTTAGTTTCAAAAGTTGAAATTGATCAACCCATATAAAAGCCCAGCTGAGATTAAAGGAGTTGACTTAGCTTTGGCTTACCCTTTGCTTTCTGGTCAGGGGCTGAAAGATCCTAACGTGACAGGGGTGAGGAGGAAGACAAAGAACGTATATTCCCAATGACAAAGTCCAGAGTGCATAACAGATGCCCTGCTAGACACTGTCAAATACAGCTTCACCTGGAGATGCAGTGTAAGAAGTTGGATGGTTCTGGGAGCTTTTAACCCCTCAGGAAGCACTAGATGCAAGCAGGAAGGTGATGGTTTATGTGAGACCTGGACACAGGAAGGTGAAGAAAAATGTCACTGCTTCTTGAGCACAGATTTGGGCAATAGTGCCTTTCCTTCCCAGTGACTAAGCCTGATCATTTGGGCAGCACCATTCCTAGATGATGAAAAGAACCATCCAGTGGACCTCATAGCGCAGTGAGATTTCTCCTTGACCCAGTGATTTTAAGAATGTTTGCCAAGATCTATGATTAAAGATTTGCGGTGGGGACCGGCCGGGCTGTGGCGGGTCCTGTTTCTCTTTCACTTTACTTCACTCTGAGGCCAGCGCGCTGGCGGGTGAGGAGTGGCGGTGGTGGCGGCTGCTGGACGTGGGAAAGCACAACCACCAAAAGGAGTGCTGATCAACGATCTCATGATAAATCTGGATGCTGGTTCTCATGCCTCAGGACGTCCTACTGGGAGTGCCACGCCAGCTCCTGGGATCAGACTTTCATCTACTTAGGACTTCTCTTTGCCTGAACTACTAAAGCCAGTCCTAGCTAGCCGCGAATGGCTACCCAAAGCAAACACTTGGTGAAAGATTTTAATCTTTTCATTACCTGCTATATCTGTAAAGGGTATCTGATCAAGCCAACAACAATGACGGAATGCCTCCATACAGTCTGTAAGACTTGTGTTGTTCAGCACTTTGAAGATAGCAATGATTGCCCAAGGTGTGGCAACCAAGTTCATGAGACAAAGCCATTAGACATGTTGAGATTGGACAGTACATTAGAGGAAATTATGTTTAAGCTCGTCCCTGGACTACGAGAACAGGACTTGAGTGTGAATCTGAATTTTGGAAGAAAAATAAGCCTCAAGAAAATGGACAAGATGTTACTTCAAAAGTTGATAAACCGAAAGTAGATGAAGAAGGGGATGAAAATCAAGATTATCATAGAAGTGACCCACAAATTGCTATCTGTCTAGATTGTTTATGAAATAATGGACTGTTGGGGGACAGTGTAGTAAAGGGTTCAATGAAGAAATTCATTCGATGTTCTACACGTGTAACTGTTGAAACTATTACAAAATTTCTAAGTTTAAAACTAAAACTTCCAAGTTCTTATGAGTTGGTTGTGCTGTGCAATGGTGAAATTATGGGGAAGGATCATAATTGGAATTCATCTACATGACAAGATGGTGACTAAGAGGCGAAAACTTTCGGTGCTTGAACTGCTCAGCTCCGCAAGTCTGCTCTCAGGAGGGCCCTTTGTATCAGTCATACCCTGTGGTAGTGCAGTATCGACCAAGAATTGATTCCAGTTAGACGAAGGGGCCCAGACCTCACTGAGATGAATCCTGCACTATTTGTTTACTGGTCAACAGATTGCACAGTTAATGGTGTGTCAACTAGAGAACACAACCAGATTTTCAGCATGCAAATAAGGCCATTGTCTATCTCTAAATTGTCAATTGCATTCATGTTGTTTCTATTAAGAGCAAACCAAGTGCCATTCTGCTACTGAACCATCCACGTAAGGTATCTGCGTTGTCTCAAAGTGTGCAAGTCATGGTTAAAACCTGTTAGGTGTGCTGTCATGATTAAACCTTCTGAATATTTTGCTTGCCTGTTCCAAGATTGTTCTAATGTTTAATTACACTAGTAAAATGGCTCAATTTTTGTGATGTTGCAGATTTCACAAACTTACTATTTTATTCTTGTTTAAATAGCGTGCTGTACAAGAAACTAATAATTATATCTTGAAATTATTTCGTATGGAAATATATTTAGAAAAGTGGTTTTTGAGCCACTGTCTTGTTCTTGGTATAAGCTTTTCATGTGAAAAAAAGTTCATTCTTGAGTGTGCAAGTCCTTTTGCGAAGAATTCCAATTATTCTGTAACATTAGAGCCCAACATAATTGTAGACATTCTAAGCATCTGCCTGTGTAGTCTACCAATTGCACAAGGAAGGCACGTTAGCCCTCCAGATTGAAAATGTATGTGACCTCTTGAACTAAAGTTAGATTCCCAACCATTCAAAATGTTGGCAGCTGATCACATTTACTTCTGATAAAATTAATGTGAAAGTAAGGTTAATCTTCTTTCAGGATGCCTTGTGACAAGCAGGTGCTGCTTCATGAAATGTCATTGTATAGCCCATTTCATGTATCATTACACTGTTGCTGTTGTTTAACAAGTGCATTATTTCTCTTTTTAAATTGGCCTTAGGTATATGTCGTTGTGGCATGCAGAGGGTTATGATGAGTTTAAATATTAGGATTTTTAGAGCACATAACATCAGATATTTTATGGATTTCAAAAGTCTCAAAACAGTTGTAGATTAAAACTGTTAGTTACTGTTCACATTTCCAAACTATATGCATAAAATAGAATAAATGCAGTATAGAAGATAACTATGCTAACCAAAATTAATTGGTTAAGGGTATTTTATTTTAAATCCTGTAGTAATCAGGGAAATGGGATTATTGTTTTTTATATGAGTTCATTAAGATTAGAAATACAAGATGTCTTGTATTTTGCAGTTTTGTTAAGTCTTCCATTCATTTTAGGATTAGTCTGTAAGTCAAAGAAGGTCTTGTTACCTTAAGTTATACGAAAACTGTTATTTTAAACCTTTTAAAATTTACAGTTTTCAAAAAACTTATTTGGAGATTGCTTTGAAACAAGCTAAACTTTGAAACTTATAAAAAAATCTTGAAAGTTAGGAAAAATATTTGTTTTAGAAATATGACATGAGCACAATCTGTGTGTTACACACGTTTAGTTTTTATACTGTATATGTGGTAAATGTGCCACATTCTCCAGTAAAATGTATCAGAAATCAATGCCCTCTGAATTTCAAAATAATTCTTAGAAATAAGATATTGTACAACTATAGCAAACATATAAAATACAGCTAAATCTTAATACATATCACTATGTTTGAGTCAAAAAGTCTATTAAATTTTTCTGTTGTTCTAAATTTGGTGAAAAAGGTTATGGCAATACTTTCTTAACTTTGTTTTGTTAGATTGTTTTTATACTTGGAATGGCTCACAAGCAGAATTTAAAAGGCAGATTTTCGTTAACTATAAATGACTGAAAAAACTGAATTTACTATCTAGCTACAGAAATTATTTTTCTGTGCTGTGAAAGCCAGGTCTCAAACATCCCTAAGAACTTTGAAAAATTATTATAAATTTGTCACATCTAAGTCAGTGATTGAAATAGTGTTTTGCAAATAGAAGTTAATTTTAAGTAACTCAAAATGAATTGAGTACATTTTAAAAATCACTAGTGAGACTTTGATGTTTTGACCTCCCGCCCCAGCCAAAACTTAATGGCCATAAATGAATTTTATCTACAAAATCCCTTTAAATTTGATCGGTTGCCTTGTCATATGTAATTTCACTATTTTCCAAGGAAATATATAGGAAGCAATTATGAAACTGAGAATAGTTTTATATAGAATTCCTCTGTTTACTGATAATACATTAACATATTTATTGAAATGCAGTGGAATATGTACCAAAACATGTGAAAAGCTTACATAAAGAAGGGCATCAATTGTCATTTGGAGAAAGGTACATATTTTTCTGATGGTCCTAAGTGATATGGTATTACTACTAGAATCACAGATTTCTTCAACTGACTTCTTTTGGTATATTCACCTGCAGCTTTCTACAGATAGGACCTGCTTTCATGTCTAGTAATACCCTGTATCCCCTGTTAATTATCCCTTAAGTCAGGTTGTAGAATTTGCGAGAAACTAGGTATAGAAAAAATATACAGGCAACTTTTGTGGTTAGCTTTATAAATTTGGCGTGCTTATAAAGTGAATTCTTTGTATAAACTGTAGGAATGATCATCTGAATCTGTAAAATCAGAGAATAAAACTAAAAGTTTTCTTTAATCTGTTGTTTCTTAAGCAATAAACTGAAAGACCTTTACTTCAAAAAAAAAAAAAGATTTGCATTACAGTATGGTTTATAATAGTAAAAACAATTAGAAACACCCCAGTATCCAACAATTAAGGATTAAATAAACAAATGAAGGTATGTAGCCACTAAAGTGATGTTGTAGGAGAATTTATCAGGGTGAGAAAATATCTATCAAAATTGTTTTGCGAAAAAAAAGCAGATTACAAAACAGAATGACTCAATTTTTATAACAAAAATACTATGCAAGGAACAACCTAAAATGCTATACAAAACATTGTTTGCAATTATGTTGTTCAGTGTTGATGAGAGAGGGAGAGTAAGCAGTTGGAAGAAGAGAAATTACAGACTATTCTTATAAATAACTAATTACAATAATATTTTATTTATTTATTTATTTATTTATTTATTTTTGAAACGGAGTTTCGCTCTTGTTACCCAGGCTGGAGTGCAATGGCGCGATCTCGGCTCACCGCAACCTCCGCCTCCCGGGTTCAGGCAATTCTCCTGCCTCAGCCTCCTGAGTAGCTGGGATTACAGGCTTGCACCACCATGCCCAGCTCATTTTTGTATTTTTAGTAGAGACGGGGTTTCACCATGTTGACCAGGATGGTCTCGATCTCTTGACCTTGTGATCCACCCACCTGGGCCTCCCACAGTGCTGGGATTACAGGCTTGAGCCACCGCAGCCTATTTATTTCTTTTCTTTTTTTTTTTTTTTGAAATGGAGTCTTGCTCTGTCACCCAGGCTGGAGTGCAGTGGCATGATCTTGGCTCACTACAACCTCCACCTCCCAGGTTCAAGTGATTCTCCTGCCTCAGCCTCTTGAGTAGCTGGGATTACAGGCGCGCACCACCACACCCAGCTAATTTTTTGTATTTTTAATAGAGATGAGGTTTCACCATGTTGGTCAGGCTGGTCTCGAACTCCTGACCTTGTGATCTGCCTGCCTTGGCCTCCCAAAGTTCTGGGATTACAGGTGTGAGCCATTGCACCTGGCTTATTTCTTTTCTTTTCTTTTTTTTTGAGACAGGTTATCACTCTGTCACCCAGGCTGGAGTGCAGTGGGGTAATCATAGCTCACTGCAGCCTCAAACTCTTGGGCTCAAGCAATTCTCCCACCTCAGTCTCCCTTGGGATCAAGTAATCCTTCCACCTCAGTCTCTCAAGTAGTTGGGGCTACAGGTGCACATTGCCACACCAGTGTGCACCTGTAGATTTTTAAGATTTAAGATTTTTTGTGTGTGTGGCGACAGGGTCTTGTTATGTTGCATAGGCTGGTCTGAAACTCCTGGGCTCAAGCAGTCTGCCCGCCTCATCCTCCCAAAGTGCTGGGATTACTGGCATGAGCCAGCATGCCTGGCCCACAATAACACTTTAAAGAGTTACTTGGCACCATGTACTATGTTGTACATAAGTTATCTCACTTAATTCTCACCATATTCCTATGAGGTATTATAATGTCCATTTTTACAGATTAAGAAACCAAGACTCAGAGAAGCTAGGTGAGTTGTCCAGGGTCACACTGCTAGGAAGTGGTAGAGTTGGGATTCTCACTAGGTTCATAGAATTCCAAAGTCCATCTCTTAACCACTATGCTAAAAACAGACACCCACAAGGAACATAAATACGTTTAAGGAGATAAAATTTGAGCTTCTTGCTTGGTATAAATTAGACAGGAAGGTAGGTGTTTAGGAAGCTGTACAGGCTATAAACAGAAAATATTTCAAGACCTAACGTCAGATGCTGGCAACCTGGAGAGTGAGGGTAGGTACTTATCTCAGAGAGGTCAGCCTCTGTTCTCACTTATGAGCCATAAAGACAAAAATAGGAAGTTAGAGAGAAAAAAAAACTTGTTTCTAAATCTTTTTTTTTTTTTGAGACAGAGTCTCGCTCTGTCACCAGGCTGGAGTGCAGTGGCGTGATCTTGGCTCACTGCAATATCCGCCTCCTGGGTTCAAGCCATTCTCCTGCCTCAGCTTCCTGAGTAGCTGGGATTACAGGTGCGTGCCACCACACCCAGCTAATTTCTGTATTTTTGGTAGAGACGGAGTTTCACCATGTGTGCCAGAATGGTCTCAATCTTGACCTTGTGATGTGCCCACCTCAGCCTTCCGAAGTGCTGAGATTACAGGTGTGAGCCACCACGCTTGGCCCCCTTTTTCCTTTCACGTTGGATGCCTTTCTGTCTTTCTCTTGCCTAATTGCTCTCGCAAGATTTTCTAGCACTACGTTGAACTGGAATGGTGAGAGTGGGCATCTTCGTCTTGTTCCTGATCTTAGAGGGAAAGCTTTCAACTTTTTACCATTGAATATGATGTTAGCTGTGGGATGTCATACATGACATGTCTTATAATGTTTGCTCTAATCTTTATTATTTCCTTTTTTCTGCTAAATTTGGGCTTAGCTTGTTCTTTTTCTAGTTCCTGGAGGTGTAAAGTTAGGTTGTTTATTTGAGATCTTTCTTAATGTAGGTGCTCATTGCTATACATTTCCCTTGGACTGCTCTTGCTGCATCCCATAAATTTTGGCATGTTGTGTTTCATTTTCATTAATGTCAAGGTTTTTTTACCTTCCTTTTGATTTCTTCTTTGGCCTGTTGATTGCTCAGGAATGTGTTGTGTAATTTCCACATATCTGTAAATTTTCCAATTTTTTCCTGTTACTGATTTCTAGTTTCATACCATTGTGGTTATAAAAAATATTTGAGGTCAGGCACAGTGGCTCAGGCATGCAATCCCAGCATTTTGGGAGGCTTAAGCAGGAGGATTGCTTGACACCAGGAGTTAAAGAACAGCCTGGGCAACATAGTGAGACCCCATCTTTACAAAAAAATTGAACAAATTGGCTGGGTATAGTGGCATGTGCCTGTAGTCCTAGCTACTTGGGAGGCTGAGGTGGGAGGATTGCTTGAGCCCAGGAGTTGGTGTTTGCAGTAAGCCATGATCACACCACTATACTCCAGGTTGGGCAACAGAGCAAAACCCTATCTCAAAATAGTAATGATAATAAAAGATACTTGATATGATTTCAATCTTCTGTATACAACTATCATATGAGTTATCAAGATCTCCAATATACCTGTGTCCCATGTTCATTACAGCATTATAACAATAACCAAGACGTGGAAACAACCTCAATACCCATCAATAGATGGTGGATTTTAAAAAGTGATGTGTGTGTGTGTCTGTGTGTATACATATGGAATATTATTCAGCCTTAACAAAGAAGGAAGTTTTACCATTTGTGACAACATGGATGAACCTTGATGACATTATGCTAAGTGATTTTAGCCAGTCACAGAGGGACAGATACTGCATGATTCTACTTACATGCGGTATATAAAATAGTCAAACTCTTAGAAGCCGAGAATGGAATGGTGGTTGCCAGGGGCATCGGGGAGGGGGAAATGGGGAATTGTTGCTCAATGGATACAAAGATTAGTTATACAAGATGAGCAAGTTCTAGAGGTGTGCTGTACAGCACAGTACCTATACTTAACAATATTGTATTTGCACCTTAAAATTTGTTAAGAGGATAGATCTCATGTTAAGTGTTTTCATCACAAGAAAGAAAAGTGCTCTGGGTAGTCTGAGCCTGCCGTGAAGTACACACATAGGTGAGACACGCACCTGGAATGGTGTTAATAGAGCCCATCAGCTGCTCCACGTCAGAGAAATCCAAGGTCTGGTCTTCAAAGTCAGGCTGTGCGGAGATTTCCACGTCTGTTTTTGTTTTCAGGAATTTTCCAAGTCTGTTGGTGTAAAAAGACAAGAATGGAGGGGCATTCTCCTTAGGGTGTGTCTATAGTACTGAGTCACTAGTCATAAATGAAGAGGACCTCTTTGCTGAACTTTTAGTTTGTTCGTTTTACAGCTGCTGGCTGCCATCTACCATCTTCTTTGTAGACTGAACTCGGGGTCATCAGTGGGGATGGGTGGGATTGATTTGTGCCTTTTAGGGAGAGGAGGAAGGGTAAGGCCATGTCAGAGGTGATCCACCAACAAGATCCAGAACCACACCCTCTGGAAGATCTCTTAGGTGCTAACCTGGGATTTCCCACTCTCAAGTCACTCCAGGCCCAAGATGTACTGAGGGTGCAAACTCCCAGGGCTTCCTTTCTACGTGGTCAGATGCCCTCAAGTTGCTGATCATGGGACTCGGGGTCTCCTTGTACCTGCTTCCTGGCAGTCACAAGGTTTGTAAATGGCAGAGGCAGAATTTGAAACCAGAGCTGGGCGCACTGGCTCACACCTGTAATCCCAGCACTTTGGGAGGCTGAGGCGGGCAGATCACTTGAGATCAGAAGTTCAAGACCAGCCTGGCCAACATGGTGAAATCCTGTCTATACTAAACATACAAAAAAATTAGCCAGGCATAGTGGTGGGCACCTGTAATCCCAGCTTGTTGAGAGACTGAGGCAGGAGAATTGCTTGAACCTGGAAGGCAGAGGTTGCAGTGAGCCGAGGCTGCACCATTGCACTCCAGCCTGGGCAACAAAAACGAAACTCTATCTCAAAAAAAAAAAAAAAAAAATTGAAACCAGGTCCATCTTTGCCAAAATCCCTGCACTTAACCCTTACGTTATTAAACTTACATGTTCGTGTTGCTTTATGGACATTATCTTATTTGATTCTCAAAACTATCCTCATTTGTAGATAATGTGAGTCCTGGACTGATCAGATTTGCCAAGGTCATGAGTGTAGCAGGATGTGAACTCCTGTCTGTCTGACTCTAAAATGTGCATGCTCTCTGCAACTGCAGTCTGGGTCCAGCCAGACATAGCTGGGGCTGTTGGGGATACTCTGCAGATCTCAGTTCTTCCTGGTGAAATGAGGGGCTTGTGGAGGAGAGCTGCTCACAGGCTTGCTGAGCCTCACCATACAGGCTCCCTGCTAGGCCTGAGAACCTGAAATTCAGTACTAGATGCTCCTAGTGACCGCACGCCATCATTCCAAAGCCAGTGCTAGTTTACTCAGGATTGACACAAAGGCTGAAACTGGAAGCATATAACCAAATGGAACGGAGTCTATTTGGATATATAAAGTTGAAAAAAATAGAGAAAGGAAATACATATTAGAACAAATGTATTACCTGTCGGCCATAGCCACTGCATCCTAAAAAGGAAAAGGAGAAAATATTAAGTTGATTTTGGAAATAAATTTTTTTTACCAACATATTGTAATAAACATATAGATAGCTATAACTATATATATAAAATAATATATATTGTTACATCCTACATATATAAGATGGATATATATAACAATTGATATAACTATATATAACATATACAATATATATAACATAAACATAGAAGAAAACTTAAAAATTAGGAAAAAGTAAAAAAGCCCAGCTGTATTCCATACCCTAATAAAACCACCCGTATGTCTGTGCATTTTCTTCCATATCACAGTACTGCTTTTCCCCATTAACTTTGGCATGCACCTGTGGTCCCAGCTCCTTGGGGGGCTGAGGCAGGAGGATCATCTGAGCCCAGGAGGCTTCAGTAAGCTATGATCACACCACCATCCACCAGCCAAAGCAACAGAGTGAGACCCTGTCTCAAAGGGAACACAACAAAAAATCCACACTATGTAAGCATTTTCCCTGTTATGAATGGTCTTTTGGGCTATCAGCTTGAACACTTGTATAACAGTTGACTATGAACAGTTAATGAATGGAAACTCCATCATTTACTTAACGATTCCTCTATTGTTGGACGTTTTGTTGTTTCCAGTTTTTCACCATCATACATAACAGTGAGAGGCCCACCTTCATGTTTAATCACTTTCTCCACGTTTTGCATATGGTGGGCCCACTAGTTCAAAAGGTATGACTATTGATGGTTCTTGGAGTGCCTGCCACATTGCTCTCCAGCTTCATTTACGGGTCTCTCACCCTAAACATAGCAGGAAGGAGGCACAGTTGGGCTTTGAGGGGTGACTGTGTGCTTGGAAAATGTGGGGGCCATACTTGGCAACCAGGAAGCTCTGGAGGCTAAAGGCCCCTCCCCATGCCCTGGACACCACATCTTCCCGGTACTCCTGTGGGACCTTGTGAAGAAAGGGGACCCCGGCTCTGACTGAGATTGAATTTCCCACAGCCCAGCCTCGTAGGGGGTTGGGTCAGATTTAATTTGATTTCAAGAAAATTAGGAAATGGATTTTTTTTTTTTTTGCATATCCGAGTTTGTGAAGTAAGCCTTTTTTTTTTTTTTTTGAGACGGAGTTTCACTCATGTTACGCAGGCTGGAGTGCAATGGCGCGATCTCGGCTCACCGCAACCTCCGCCTCCTGGGTTCAGGCAATTCTCCTGCCTCAGCCTCCTGAGTAGCTGGGATTACAGGCACGCATCACCATGCCCAGCTAATTTTTTGTATTTTTAGTAGAGACGGGGTTTCACCATGTTGACCAGGATGGTCTCGATCTCTTGACCTCGTGATCCACCCGCCTTGGCCTCCCAAAGTGCTGGGATTACAGGCTTGAGCCACCGCGCCCGGCCCTTTTTTTTTTTTTTATTGCTACACTTGTAACTGGGAAATTTAAGGTGCCTTTTCAGCCTTGACGACTTTCTCCCCAGAGCTCCAAGAGGCCATCTCCAAGAGGGGGCCGGAAAACTCTCAGAGCACAGCTTTTGCTCAGCTCAGCTCCAGGATGAGGGGACAGGTATCCAGGTGACCAGAACAGAGGAACAAAGACTGGTGCTCCTTCTGTGCTAGGGGAGGGAGAGAGTCTGCTGCTGTGAGTCTCCCTGGCTACTCGTGTGGCCATGCAGAGAGATGCAGCCACAGCCTCCCTATCATGATCACCCAGTGGAATCAAATGGATGCTGGCCATAAAAGTCGATTCCAGTGCCTCCAGGAGGAGTGAGGACAACCCAGCTTACCTCAGCCATAACTTAGGTAACTGAAACTGTTGTTTGTTTGTGATTCCATCTCTTATGTTCATTTCATGACTGACCTTTATGAAATCCACCTTCTCCTCGTGACACATCTCTTCTATTGTTTCCATCAGTTCTTTGCAGGTATCTAGGTTTTCTCCACAGCTGACCAGTTGTCCATATAAGGCTTCCAGCTTCTCTTTCTTTTTCTCCCCTAGAGCTTGTATTTTTTCTTCATATTTTTGAGCAAGTGTTTCCAAGATCTCGTTGTAATGTGACTCAAAGTTTTGTTCTTGTTTTCCAAAATTCTCCTGCAAGACAGTTGAACTGAGTCATCATTTCAGTACATGTGGTGCATTGATTAGTCTTTTTTCTTTTTTTTTTTTTTTTGAGACAGAGTTTCACTGTGTCACCCAGGCTGGAGTGCAGTGGTGTAATCTCAGCTCACTGCAACCTCTGTGTTCCAAGTTAAAATGATTCTCTTGCCTCAGGCTCCTGAGTAGCTGGGATTACAGGTGCGCATCACCACACCTGGCTAATTTTTGTATTTTTAGTAGAAACGGGGTTTCACCATATTGGCTAGACTGGTCTTGAACTCCTGACCTCAAGTGATCCACCCACCTCAGCCTCCCAAAGTGTTGAGATTACAGGCGTGAGCCATCATGCCCAGCCTGATTAGAGTCATTAGATAAATGAAAATGTGTACCTACCAGAATTATTTTAGTCCCTCTACTTTGTCCTCTCATCTCTTGTCAGGATGTTGGAATGAAAGCTGGAGGTGCTAGAACACAGGCGTCTCCAGCCTAGATCCCCAGGAATAATCTAAACAAAAGCACTGCTTTCTCTCCTGGCAGCATTTTGCAATCCACCTCCAGTTCATTTACCTTCTATCACCACGATAACTGATCAGGGAGATTATCAGTGATGATTCTGCCCAATATTGGACCTTAATGTGGAAATATTTTCCCTGAGAGATTCCCATCTACCATTCCCTCCTGAGCTCTTAACATCTCATGAGACTTCTCCTCACTCCTTGGTGCTTGGATCATACAAACACCAAGATTAAATCACTAGGATCATATCAACTAGGGGAGAGACAAAGGCAAAGGCGGAACAAGGGTTGCAGCCAGGCGGCACTGCCTTATAAATGAGAAGATGCAGGAGAGCAGAGGGAGGGTTCTTACAATATTAATCCAGGAACACAGTAGATGAGAAATATTAATAGAGTATATATTACTTATATTGTCCCCAGAGCTCTGCAAGTTCTGATGGATGTCATCCTCATCAGATGATGGGGACATTTCCAAGGAAGAGGATCTTATCATTCATTCAGAGAGTAATTACTGAACACCTGCTATGTGCATAGGACTTGCTCAGAATGGTGGAAGAGAAAGAAAGGCAACAGATGCACTTCTCAGTGTTGAGTATGAAAGGATGGCCACAGGGTCCTCACTGAGGATGAAGGGACTTTGATCTGAGAGTAAGCTGGCAGAGCAGAGTGTGAGAGGTTTTTTGTTGTTGTTATTGTTTGTTTGTTTTTGATGGAGCCTCATTTTGTCACTCAGGCTAGAGTGAAGTGGAGCGACCTCAGCTCACTGTAACCTCTGCGTCTTGGGTTCAAGCGATTCTCCTGCCTCAGCCTCCCAAGAACCTGGGATTCCAGGCGCCCACCATCATGCTCAGCTAATTTTTTTGTATTTTTAGTAGAGACAGGGTTTTACCATGTCAGCCAGGCTGGTCTTGAACTCTTGACCTCAAGTGATCCACCCACTTTGGCCTCCCAAAGTGCTGAAATTATAGATGTGAGACACCGTGCTGGCCAATGTAAGAAGTTTTGTCTTAGATGTTGTACACTTATCCCCTTCTACCACCACCCTGTACTTGGCAGTGGAAGGGTTTGCCCCCTTCCCTGTGTCTTCCTTGGGGGATTAGTGTAATAGCTCTCCTCCTTTGTAATACTGGGGGTGAAAACGGTCTAGCTTCATGGGAAATGTTCCTGGGGCTTAGTTGATTCACATGAAATGCTCCTGTTGGTACCATCCGAGGCTACATTAATAGAAGTAGAGCATTGCATGAAAAGAAGAGAGAGGGCAAGTCCTGAGCTCCTCAGGCCTGGTTGACCTCACTTGGGAGGTTGGGTTGAGCTCTGGCATGATAATAGTGGTGTACCATGTATCTACTAGGGCACAACAGGGGACTGTGGCATGTTTGATGACAGACATGGAAACTTATTAATCTTACATAGGTAACAGCTGAGGAAAAGAACACTTATCAAAAACAGGATGGGTATCTTGCAATGCCTTGTCAAGGCTGACCCATGAAAGAGGGACTAGTCTTATTCTGTGAAGCTCTAGGGGCCAATATGACTAGTGGGCGAAAGTTACAGAGCCACACCTTCTATCTCAGTCATGTTGGCATCTGGATCAAGGCTCACATTCTTCCTCATGTCAAGATTGGGAGGGAGAGGGGCCGTCAAAGGATAAAAACTCCTTTTCAGTCCTAGAATTCTAAGCTTTTACTGATCTCTCAGGAAAGTCTGGAAATTGCTAACTAGACAAAGGCAACACATTTATTTATTTATTTATTTATTTGAGATGGAGTCTCTCTCTGTCACCCAGGCTGGAGTGCAGTGGCGTGGTCTCAGCTCACTGCAACTTCCACCTCCCAGTTTTCAGTGATTCTCCTGCCTCAGCCTCCTAAGTAACTGGGACTACAGGCATGTGCCATCATGCCCAGCTATTTTTTTTTTATTATTCCTAGAGACGGGGTTTTACCATGTTGGCCAGGCTGGTCTCGAACTCCTGACCTCAGGTGATCTGCCCGCATTGGCCTCTCAAAGTGTTGGGATTACAGGCATGAGCCACTGTGCCTGGCCATAAATTTATTTTTTAAATGCATGCAGAGCTAAAAGTATTCCTTTGTTAGGGTAGCAATCATTGGTAGAAGTAAGTATTTTGCCTCTTAAAACAACAAAAAAGTGTTTGACAGTCTACACCTGACTTTATGTAGTCAACATTGCAGGTACCTCCAAAAGCCTAGAATTAACAACTCCCAAAACCAAGGAAATAACATGGAACCCCACTGTTTCTGGTTTCTCAGTCAATGCACCAGGGAGCACCCCAGGGATTCTCAGCAAGACCTTCTACCCCAAAAAGAAATCTGGAACAAATAAACAAACCAAAAAAGACAAGGGCAAAAGAAAAGATATCCCCTCTTCACCACCTGGGCTCAAATGAGGGACTTCGCTGAAGATGCCACCATGAAGTCATCTTTGTTAGAATAAGGATCTATCAAGTTGAATGATGAAAACAATATACATTAAAAAAAGAATTAGGATAAGGGTCTAAACCACATACAATTAGTGATTTGGGTAAAGGGGGAGTAGGAGAAAATGAAGCCAGTGAAGGAGAGGGATTGTGATTGGGAAATTTCTGCCTTATTTACTCATGCAACAAACATGTATAAAATGCCTGCTCTGAAACATACTATGTAGTAGGACTAGGGATATTTCGAGAGAAAACCCAGCCTCCACACCAAGAGCTTATAGTTCAGTAGGGAATGCTGACAGGTAATCGGTTCCATGACATCCACACCCAGGTGCTATGGGAGGTCGACAAAAACAGGGAGGGGAGAGGGGCAGTGGTGACTCCTCACATTCTAAGGAAACAGATTCTTGACCTAGCCACTGATAGAAGCAATGTGAGTCTGATGATGTCTTCAAGTATGCTCTTACCTCCACAGTGATGAAAACCTCCTCCAAGTGATTTGCAAAGTTTTCCATATCAATTATCTGTTTTTCCAATTTGTACATGTTTTTGTGAATTTCATCCTATTCAACAGAGGATCACAAAGAAGATATTAATGTTACGTCTTGTCTCGCTCTTGTAGAAGGCATCTTAGATGTATTCCTTGCAAATGTACTTGAGATACAAATGCAATATCAAGACAGAGAAGAACCAAGGAGACCTATTTACCTTGGCACTTTCCAGTGCTTCATTGAGTGGGATCACTTCATGCTCCTTATGTTCATCAAAAACCTTCTGAAAAGCTCTTATTGGAGTTTTACAAGTAACACAGAAGACATCAGCAGCTTCTTCTTCATCTTCTTCCTCAGGGATGACATAGCATTCATACTCCTCGCTAGCACGGCCGTGTGTGTACCTGTAGACTTCCCGCAAGTCCTGGCACTGGCCTGCCGAGCCCCACCCTCCGAAGCCCAGGTCCTCAGCCTCCGCTGCCTCTCCACGAAGTCTCCAGTCTCTCTGCTCCCTGGCTGGGTCCCTCCTCTTCATCCCATAAATAGGATATTCTGAAACTCCCATTATGGGCATGTTTTCATCAACAAACTCATCCCCTAATTCGTGATCATCTTCAAGTCCGTATAAGTGGACAAGTTCCTCCACTTCCTCTCTAAGGTGTCTTTGAGGCTTACCATCCCCTGTTCCTGTTGACTGCCTGGCCATTTCAGCTTCGACTTCTTCTTTCCTCATCCTAGTGCTCTCTTCTGGAAAGAGCTGCAGTCTGTCTTCAGAGTCATACAGGTCCATGTGGTAAAAGTGGAAATCCTTGGGAGAAGACCTGTCTGACCCCAGTTCCTCCCCTGATTCCTCCTCCATTGTAACTCTGGAAGTCCTTAGAAGCACCTTTATACAAGAAAGATCCTTCCTGGACACTTAATAGTGAATATCTGGGCCCTGGAACACAAAAAAGAGGAGGAAAATCAGTTCTGGAGAAGGGCATTGCTGTAGATGATCATTAGATTGGGCTCTACTCAGAAAATTTTTAAAAATTATCCGTGTAGCTCAGTTGTGTTTTCACTTTGAATCATCTGTTAAAAAATGTTTGTTTTCTATGGAGGGATGGGCTTTCTAAGGTTAAAAGAGACAAAAGAAATTACAAAAGAAATGTCTAATAGATATGACCAACAAAATGCTTCCCTTCTTATACACTAAAAAATAAAAAACCTTAAAAGGCAAAATAATGAGAAGCATCTCAGGAAATTTTTGTTATTATTATTAATTTATTTTTGAGATGGAGTCTCACTCTGTCGCCCAGGCTGGAGTGCTCACTGCAGCCTCTGTGCCTCCAGGGTGCAAGCAATTCCTGTGCCTCAGCCTCCTAAGTAGCTGGGATTACAGGTATGTGCCACCACACCCAGCTAATTTTTGTATTTTTGGTAGAGATGGGGTTTCACCATGTTGGCCAGGCTGGTGTCAAACTCCCAACCTCAGTTGATCCAACCACCTCAGCCTCCCAAAGTACTGGGATTACAGGCATGAGCCACCGTGCCTGGTCTATTATTTTTAAATTATATAAATTAATTGAAAAAGTGATATCTTAATAGATGAATGTGCACAGACAATTCAGAAAACAATTGATTTTGTATATCATAGTAACTGCACACAAACATTTGAAAAAAACTGTACTTCAAAGTGAGAATAGGCCTGGTGTGGTGGCTCATGCCTGTAATCCCAGTACTTTGGGAGGCTGAGGCCAATGGATTGATTGAGTTCAAGAATTCAAGATCATCCTGTGCAACATGGCAAGACCCTATCTCTATCAAAAATACAAAATAAATAAATAAAGCCACACATAGTGGTGTGTGCCTGTGGTCCCCGCTACTTGGGAGGCTGAGGTGGGAGGATCGCTTGAGCCTGGGGGGTGGAGATTGCAATGAGCCTGAATCACACCACTGCACTCCAGCCTTCCAGCCTAGGTGACAGCAAGACACTGTCTCAAAAAAAAAAAAAAGAACCAGAACAAATAAGTAGATGCTGTTTTGCCTTTTTGGTTAGCAAATATTTAAAAATATCAAAAATGATACCCCTGGCTGGATAAGGGGACAGTGAAGTGAGCGCTCTCATATGCTGCTGGCTGGAATATAAACTGGCCCCATTTTTCTGAAGAGCAAGCTTGGTAACCTGGGTCAGGAACCTTAAAAATGTTCATACTCTCAGTTGGGTGTGATGACTCATGCCTGTAATCCCAGCACTTTGGGAGGGCAAGGCAGGAGGATTGCCCGAGGCTAGGAGTTCCAGACCACTGTGTTGCCTAGCAACATTGTGAAACCCATGTCTGCAAAAAATTTAAAAGTTTGCCAGGTGTAGTGGTGCATGCCTATAGTCCCAGCTACTTGGGAGGCTGAGGCAGTGAGCCATGATTGCACCACTGTACTCCAGCCTGGGCCACAGAGCAAGACCCTGTCTCAAAAAAATAAAAAATTGTTCGTACTCTCTAGCCTATCCACACTCTCTAACCTAGCAATCCTTTTCTGGAACCTTGAGGAAAAATCCCAAATACAAGGAAAACAATTATTTTATGTAAAAATGTCCACCACATAGTTGTTTGAAGTAGCAAGAGCTTTTTTTTTAAAGGTCTGATGATTAGGAGAAGGGCTAAGTAAGTTGGGGTATGTACACTACATAGAATACAAAGCAGCTTTAACATGTTCGTGATAACTTGGAAAAAGACTTACAATATGACATTTAAGCAAAATGAACAGATTGCCCATTGTATGTAGAATATGATGTCCACTATTTTAATGAAGTACATAAAATCTAAAAGGATATAATAATAACAATAGTAATAGTAAATACAATATTAATATTACTTCTTGAACACTTATCATATGCCTTTTCTGTGTTAGGCAGTTTGTATATACATCATCCTAACATCGACCCTATGTGGCAGGCCCTGCTATTATCCCCATTTTGTAGACGAGACAACTGTGTCTCAGGGAGGGTGTCCAGCGTAAGGCCGCACAGTTGGTGTATTGTTGAACTGGGATTTGAGCCTTAATTGGTGTGGCAGCTATGAGACTGTGCTTCAGAGATAACCAACCACAGGGAGTGTAATTGACTGGAGGTTTCAGTTGCCCTCTGAAGTTCATTGCTGCATAGCATAGAAGACTTGCTTGCCACAAACATCTGCCATCCAGTGACAAGCACAGCCAAGGATTCCATTACTGGTTGATACATCTGGCTCAACTCCTTTGAGCCCTCCTCTAGGGGGATTCCAGCCACTCAGGAGGCTGAAGTGGGAGGATCATTTGAACCCAGGAGTTCAAGACCAGCCTAGACAATATAGCAAGACCCTGTCTCTTAAAAAACAAACAGAAAAACTTCTCTGATGGCCAGCAGAGTTGGCTGGAGGATTCCCTGACAGCCTTGCCAGTGCTTTCTTAGCTGCGTGGTAGTCCAGGATACTTACCTGAACCTTCCCTCTTGCTCTCCTTCAACCAGGGTCAGACTTGCATCATGGTCTGACAGTTCTCCCAGCCTTTCCTACCTTCCTCCCCATTTTATCTCTCACACAGGTGTTTCCTCTAATAAACTCTTTTCCATCTTGTGCCTGCTTCTTGGAGAACTAGATTAACACAGTCTGTTGGACTTTGAAGTCCTTGCTTTCTTCCTGGCATAGAGCTGCCACTGTGTTTTATTTATTCTTTTTTGTAACAGTTTTATTAAGGTATAATTTATATACCATACAAGTCACTTGTTAAAAGTGTATACATCAGTGGTTTTTAGTATACTCACACATATGTGTGGTGATCACCATAGTCAGTTTTAGAGCATGTATTTTATTTTATTATTATTATTATTATTATTATTTTTTTTGAGAAGGAGTTTCACTCTTGTTGCCCAGGCTGGAGTGCAATGGCATGATCTCGGCTCACTACAACCTCCGCCTCCTGAGATCAAGTGATTATCCTCTCTCAACCTCCCGAGTAGCTAGGATTACAGGAATGTGCCACTATGCCCAGTTTTAGTAGAGACAGGGTTTTTTTTTTAGTAGAGACAGGGCTTTAGTAGAGACAGGGTTTCTACTATGATCTGCTGGCCTTGGCCTCTCAAAGTGCTGGGATTACAGGCGTGACCCACCTCATCTGGCCTAGAGCATGTATTTTTAATTTTTTTTTTTTTTAGACGGAGTTTCACTCTTGTTACCCAGGCTGGAGTGCAATGGCGCGATCTCGGCTCAACGCAACCTCCGCCTCCTGGGTTCAGGCAATTCTCCTGCCTCAGCCTCCTGAGTAGCTGGGACTACAGGCACGCGCCACCATGCCCAGCTAATTTTTTGTAGTTTTAGTAGAGACTGGATTTCACCATGTTGACCAGGATGGTCTCGATCTCTTGACCTCATGATCCACCCGCCTCGGCCTCCCAAAGTGCTGGGATTACAGGCCTGAGCCACCNACCATGCCCAGCTAATTTTTTGTAGTTTTAGTAGAGACGGGGTTTCACCATGTTGACCAGGATGGTCTCGATCTCTTGACCTCGTGATCCACCCGCTTCGGCCTCCCAAAGTATTTTTAATTTTTAAAGACTATTTTTTTGAGACATGGTCTCCTTCTGTCACCCAAGCTGGAGTGCAGTGGCACCATTTTGGCTCACTGCAACCTCTGCCTCCGGGGCTCAGGTGATCCTCATACCTCAGCCTCCCAAGTATCTGGGACTACAGGCATGTGCCACCATGACTGGCTAATTTTTAAATTTTTTTTTTGTCGAGACGAGGTCATGCCATGTTGCCCAGGCTGATCTTGAACTCCTGAGTTCAAGGGATCCTCCTGCCTCAGCCTCCCAAAGTGGTGGGATTACAGGCGTGAGCCACTGTGCCCAGTCATAATTTTAGAGCATTTTTATCACCTCAAAAAGAAACACTGTACCCTTTAGCTGTCACCACCAGCATTTCCCCATCTTCCCTAGCCCTAAGCGACAACTAAGCTACTTTCTGTCTCTATTGATTTTCCTATTTGGACATTTCCTATAAACGGAATCATATAGTATATAATCTTTTGCAACTGGCTTCTTTCACTGACTGTAATGTTTTCAAGGTTCATCCAGGTCGTAGCATGTATCAGTATTTCATTTCTTTTTTAGGACCAGAAAAATATTCTGTTGTATGGATATACCATACTTTGTTTGTTCACGCATTAGTTGATTCAGGTGGTTTGCCATCTTGTTTGGATTGTTTCTACCTTTTGGCTATTTTAAATAATACTGCTAAAAACATTTGTGTACAAATTCTGGTGTGAATATGTTTTCTTCTCTTTTAGATGTATACCTAGGAGTGAGTAAACACCTCGGAGTGGGATCACTGGGTCAAATGGTAACTTATGTTTAACTTTCTGAGAAACCGCCAAACTATTTTCCAGATTGTCTGCACTATTTTGCATTCCTACCAGCAGTGTAGGAAAGCTCGGATTTCTCCACATTCTTGTCACACTTGTTATTATCTGACTGTTTCATTCAGTCATCCTGGTGGATATGAAATTGTATCTCACTGTGATTTTGATTTGCATGCCCCTGATGAATAATGATGTCAGGTATTTTTCATGTAGTTACCGGCCATTTGTATATCTGCTTTGGAGAAATGCCTCTTCAGATCTTTTGCCCATTTTTAAATTGGGTTATTTGCCTTTTTATTGTTGAGCTCTAAGAGTTCTTTATGTATTCTGGATTCTAGCCACTATCAGACATGTAAATTACAAATAGTTTTCTTCTATTCTGTGAAGTGTCCTTTTATTTTCTTGATGATGTCCCTTGAAGCACAAAAGGTTTTAATTTTGATGAAGTCTAGTTTATCTATTTTTCTGTTGTTGCTGCTCCTTGTACTTTTGGTGCCATGTCTAATAATCCATTGCCAAATTTAAGATAAATCCCACTTGATCATAATAGTTAATACTTTTTTTTTT